CTTTCCCCTCTTCCGGTTGTCTTTGAGTCTCTGATAAAGTGCGACGAGTCTCCCACCTGGTTGGTGCTTAAGAGAAAGTTTAGACGCCGAGTCGAGCGGTGCTCTCTTGCGCTTCCCCGTGGTCAGTTCGTGACACCGCGCTTGCAATTCGGATCCCAATCTCCCCCCCCCCCCTCAACAGCGAGCGAGAGGACCCGGGTTCGATTCCCGGCGGGACGAAACCATAGGCAGTCTCCTCGCTCCACACGCCTCTGTTTACCCCTCAGTAAGTAGGAACCCGGTTGGTAGTCGATTGATGGATTGTTTTTCTGGGGTTAATAATCCGTCCAAAGGAATAATAATAATAATAATAATTGGGTCTCTCAATCCACGAGTGTTTGTGGGACACTGACTGCTGCGCCCAAATTGGCTGCCGTATTTGGACCACAAAATACACGGTCACTCCACGTTACGGTATATGCTGCGAAGCGCTTTTTAGACGTCTCAGCGATGTCTAAACAGAGCCGTGTGGAGTGAGGAAACTTGCCTAAGGTCTCGCTCTGCTGGGAGTCGAACCCGGGTCCTCTCGCTTTGCGAGGCGAGTGCTCGAACCGCTGCACGACGGGACTCCACAACGGGGCTGTGCCGTGGGAGACTCTCTGATGATGCTCTTCCCTCCGCAGGTGAAAAGCCACATGATCTCGAGGTCCACTCAGGGCCCGGACACCACGCAGACGGGTCACAAGCTGAGGAGTTGGCGAGCCAGCGGCAGCACGTCCGTCGCAGGCACAAGCGCAGGTGGTCCCAGCAGAGACCCTGGGCCGTGCAGACACAGGCCAAGCTCAGCTCCACTGCAGAGGACACCAAACCCTTCATCCTCGATCTCAAGAACCTCCCAACCTGGCCACCGCCGACCTCAACGCTCAGAACCCCAACATTCAGGTACGGGGAGGGAGAGGGGTGGTGTGGGGGTAATGTAGGGGGGGGAGAAATGGGGGAAGGTGGGGAAATGGTGGGTGTGGGAGTGGGAGGTAATGGGGTGTGTGTAGGGGGGAAGAAATGGAGAGAAGGGACGTAGGGGCTAATAGTATCTGTGTGTAGGGGCAGTAATGGTGTATGTGGTGGTGGGGGGGTGGAGGGGGCGATAATGGGGGAGGGGTGTCCGGGGTAATGGGTGTATGTGGGGGGGTAATGGGGAGGTGGGGGAGGGACATTGGTCACAGATTCCTTTCACATCACTCGTTTGCTTCCCGGGAGCGGTGCTGTGGGCAAATTGGCTGCTGCGTTAACCCTTCGATCGTCCAGATCCAAGGTTTCCCTCCTCCTAAACTGTTCCCAGATCCCAACCAAACTCCCCTGTTTGTAGTCAGTGAGTTTGAAACAGCACATCCATCATTCCGGGGAGAAGGTTTATCTCAACCGGTAACAGGATTGACAGGCTGATAACCTTCTATCATCCACTTCTTCACCTCCGCTCACCCCTCACCCCATAATTATTCCCCTGAGTCCCTGTCAGTGGCTCCCCCCACTTTCTAAACGCCTTTAAAACCACTCGGGACACAAAATTCCACCCAGCCTTAGCCCCCGTCGGTGTTCCTTTTCTCTCATGTCTTTAAAAATGCCATAATCGTGGGAAAATCCTAATGTTGTAAACAGTCCTCGCTTCCGAATCCTTAAATCCCGAGCCAGGTCGATCTGCAGTATTCCAGGGCACGGCCGATGACAGCGCAGCTCAGTCTGGCTCATCGGCAGGACCTGGAAGGGCAGACCAGTCACTGAGGGCAGGGAATCCTCCCACTCCGCTCCTGTTAACCCTGCAGCCAAAATGGTAGAGTGATCCTCGCTGGACAAGCAGCGGGAAAGCTTGCCGGGCAGCAATATCAATGGCAATCGATGTGGTTTTAGCCGGTTGGACTCCAGCAGTTACCCCAACACACACTCTGGGGTACCCCAAGCCTCGGCTCTTACCAACCTGCGCCTAATACTCTCCGGAATTAAGTAAGCGGGATGCGTCCCTCCAGGGAGAGAGAGAGAGAGAGAGTGCGCATTCCACTCCAATAATCTATCTCTGGGATTTCTATGTGTAGGTGGGAGGAGGGGAATTCTCAGCTCGGTTTGGATGTTCTTAAGCTCGGTCTCCGTGGGTTTCCGCTCGTGTCAGACACACGGCTGACCAAAAACAATTGTGTATTAAATCCAGCGCCTCCTACAGGATAATAATAATAATCCTTGCATTTGATATAGCGCTTTTCACGTCTTCTCGAAGTCTCAAAGCGCTTCACAGAATAGACTGTAATGTGAATTGACTGTATATTTGTGGGCGAACGCGGCAGCCATTTGCGCACAGCAATGTCCCACCAACAGTCGTGGATTGAAAATGACCAATTTATTATTGTTTGGTTTTGGAGGGATTATTATTAGGCTCTGTGTGGAGTAAGGAAACTTGCCCAAGGTTTGGCCCTGACCCCCCCGGGGATTGATCTCAGGTCTCTCGCTTGCAAAGCGAGTGCTCTAACCACTG